AAAATATACGGCCTACTTAGGCAACTCTACATGACACAAAAGTACCTATCGGCTGATATGCGGCTTATGATTGCAAAAACGTATCTCATACCTTCTCTAAGTTATGGGATAGAAATTTTCGGGAACTGTGATGCTGCCTCCCAACACAAATTAAACGTTGCATTTAACAACATTGCAAGATACATATTCAATATTAAACGAGGTGATCCCATTACGGCAATGGCCAATAGCATATACGGATTTAACTTTAAAATTTGGAGCAATACCAGAAATCTAATTCTTTTGCATAAGGTAATAAATACCAGAGAGCCCAGTTATCTATTTGAAAAACTAAAATTTGGAACATCAGCAAGAACCAATAATCTCATTAATTTTCGTCATAATCTTTCGTCTTCTGAACGCCATTTTTTTATTCACACTATTCGCTTGTGGAATGAACTTCCTCAAAATTTAAAATCAATAAGAAGCACACCGCAATTTAAGAATAATTTAATAAAGTTTTATAGAAATGAAAACATAAACTAGACATAATAAAATAATGTTTAATTATAACATAAGGACATTCAAATTGTTAGAATAAGATATACATGTATTTCAATCTTGTGTAGTTTTAAGACAGATATGAAAATATTAAATTGACCCGTTGTGACTATCGCACTAATTTATAAGTTTTTAACTTGTAGCGATAGGAATTTATTTACCAATAAATTAAAATTAAATCATCAATACAATTGATGATTAAAGTAGTCGACAAGTCAGACAGCGTGTGTTTATATTTTGTTTGTTAGTTACTCACACATAAAAGACATGAATGTTTATTGTTGCAACACACACACTACTCAGTACCCGGGGAACTTCTTTCTTCCAATTCATGTTAAAATTTGATTGGAAATCCGTCGAGTTTTGTTTGTTTCTATTTTTTTTGTGTTATCTGTTTACTTTGGTCGCATTTTTTTTCTGGTTTACGTTTGTTGGCATTTCCTTCTTGTAACATTGTTCTTCTCTAACAAAAATGGCAGAACAGGAGAATGTTGAGGCAGGTCAGGGAGAGATAGGTGCTGAAGGGATGAGACCAGGGTCGGACGGGAGCCGATTAAGCGTCCAGCAGAGGAGGATAATTCCACGCAGCCTAAACCTGGATCCAGAAGCCACTCCATTCGGATATTCAAACATCCAGCTAGACCCGATACAGGAGCAGTACAGCATGGAGAACGCTGAAGCGTACAAATCTATTTATTTATTTATTTATTAAGAATAGCAAATATCTGCCATTTTGAATCCATATCCTTACCTCAGACCGGATAAGGAGTGTTTTTTAATGATATGCTCCGACTCACATCAGGTGGTCAGAGGCAAGGATAGGTGTCTTAAAATATTATTTTTGTTAAAGTCTAATGACATTTCAAAATATAAAAGAGAGTACATGTCGTTGTAAAGCGAACATAAAACGCGAAAAGGATCGTGTGCCTCGAAATTAGTTTTACAAATATCCAAAGCTATAGGCCGAAAGTAACGTGATGGCCTAGAAGGAACTGAAAAGCGTTTTTGCTTAAGAAGATTACTGGAAAAAATATATCCATTTATTAATTTATGCAGGAACATCACGCCATGGCAGGTACGACGATCCTTAAGAGAGGGCAGGTCCAGAAGGCGTAGTCTGTCGGCATACGGAGGAAGGTGGCGATGAGGGTCCCAATCTAAACCCCGAAGAGCGAACAAAAGGAATTGTTTCTGTACCGATTCGATAAGATCCTGATACTTTGCATATTGAGGGGACCATACGCATGAACAATATTCGAGTATGGGCCGAACCAGGGATATATATAAAAGTTTTGTAGTGTAGGGATCATCGAATTCCTTAGACCATCGTTTTACGAAAGCAAAAACTCCCTTTGCTTTACCAACAATTATACCGATGTGATCGGTGAAGCTCAAGTTGTGGGTAAATAGAACACCAAGATCCGTTACAGAGTGGATACGTTCAAGAACACTCGTGCCTAAGGAATAGTTAGCCTGGAAACAATTTCTGCGGTAAAACGACATGTATTTACATTTGGAGTTGTTAAGAAACAATAAATTGTGAGTGCACCAGGACATCATGTTGTTTAAATCAGCTTGCAAAAGCTGAGCAGAGTCAGGATTCACAAGAGGCAAACATAGTTTTACGTCATCAGCATACATCAAGACGTAAGAGTGGAGAATAACTTGGGGCAGATCATTTATAAAAATGCCAAATAGAAGAGGACCGAGGTGGCTCCCTTGAGGAACGCCAGAAGTCACGTGAACAAGGTTTGAGAATGAACCCTTGAATGCAACTCTTTGAGTACGGTTCGACAAATAAGTATAAATCCACTTGATCAACGTAACCGGAAAACCCAACAGACAAAGTTTCTTCAGCAGTAATTGGTGATTCACCGAATCGAAAGCTTTGCTGAAATCTGTAAAGATAACATCGGTTTGGGTGTTATTTTTAAATGCGTTTCTAATGACAGCAACAAACTCAAGGAGATTTGTAGACGTTGATTTACGTTTCATGAAGCCATGCTGTGAGGGGGACATTATTGAGCTACATTGGTGCTGAAGCTGAGTAGTAATTAGAAATTCGAATAATTTGGGAATCGCACTAAGTTTTGCAATACCTCTATAGTGTTCAATATTAGATTTACTGCCCTTTTTATGAAGCGGAATGATAAACGATTCTTTCCAAACTTTGGGGAAAAACGAATGCTGAAGTGATAACTGAAAAAGTCTAGACAATGGTCTACATAATGAGCTGGCACAATTTCTCAGAACACAGCTAGGTACAAGATCTGGACCAGAGGAAAAGGAAAGTTTGATTGTTCTAAGATTATGAAGAACATCATCTTCGCTGATTACAGGCATAAAAATGCAATTGGAATGCGGGAGTGGAAAAGAATACTCTGAGTTATTATCGAAATTAGTTTGTGAGTATGTAGTCTGGAAGAACTTTGCGAACAGGTTCGCGATATCAGGCTCATTGGAAGCGGAGGCATTATCGAAATGAAGTCATGAAGGAAATTGTTGAGATTTCCGTTTCGAGTTTACAAAAGCGTAAAATTGCTTCGGGTCAGCCTGAAACTCAATTTTGCACCGATTTAAGTGGTTTCTGTGGCATTCAGAATTGTGTGCTAGGAAATTTGTGCGAGCAGTTAAATATCTCGAATGGTCGACTTGAAGACCAGATTTGCTATACTTTTTAAACAGTCTGGATTTCAGATTTTTTAGATATGAAAGCCGACGAGAAAACCAAGGGGGCTTATGAGAAACTTCTGGTGAGGGAAATGAAGGGACATACATGTCGAAAACTGAGTACATTATTTCATAGAAACGCTTAACAATGTCTGAGGGATCCTCTGTGGAGTTCAAGACAGTCCAATCCGTTAAGGATAAGTGGTGGTTCATTTCTGTAAACTTAGCTTTTCTATGAACAAGAGGGAGATGCAGGGGATGATTCATGCCTCCCAGGAGCAGATTCGGGTGGACACGATACACCTGATGGACATTCGGATCGACCAGTGTATCCGGGCAGGCTTCGCAGAGATGATGGGAAAGCTAGAGCGTCGAGACGCAGCTTCTTCGTCGTCGTCGGTCGGGTCTGGGGCAACACAGACTGGCCTAAAGGAAGGTCAAAGGCAGGAAGTAAACCGGGAACAGAACCAAGGACCCGGACTGGCCCAAGGAGTCGGTGCTGTCCGGAATGAGGGACGGAGCGACCCGCAAAGGAACTCCTGGCAAGCCTTCGGACAGAATGTGGCCCAAAATTCCACACTTCACGGAAATCAACGGCTGCAAGGAAGACACAGCTATGGAAGGATGCAAGGAGCTCCACAGGCACAGGGTAACTACAACTTCCCAGGACCCGGGAACAGAAACCGACCCCACAGCGTTGACCCTGAAGGAATAGGTGGAAATGGGCAAGGAAGGAACAATGGCCAATGGAATCTGGATGGACGACCGATAATCCGCACCCGACACGATGTGCCATTGGACAAGTGGGGGTTCCAATTTACAGGAAATTCTCGGGGCATAAATGCGGAAGATTTTTTATTCCGAGTGGAACATCTCCAGCACCATTACGGGATGCCGTGGCCGGAGTTGTTGAGGGACTTCCATAGATTGCTAGTGGAGGATGCATCGGAGTGGTATTGGCTCCTAATCCGCACCAAGCAGCCTAGGTCGTGGGAAGAGCTGAAGCAAGCTCTCGAGCGTCGCTTCTGTGATAAGCGGAGCGACTATGACCGGATCCAGGACATAGCCGAGAGGAAACAGAGGCCCGGAGAGACGCTGGATGAATATTTCACGGCGCTCAGGAGACTGGTGGCTTCCATGGTCGGAGGTGTAGATCCGGATTGGGTTATAAAAACGGCCAAACGGAATTTAGCCGAGCCCGTCAGGCAATGGGTGTACCCGATCCGGGTATATACTCTGGAACACCTGCACGACGAGTGTAAGGAAGCGGAAAGAACGTTAGATCCGGAGCACGGGAGACAGCGGACGCGACTGCCAGCCTCCTATAGGCCCAGACAGGAACAGCGAGTCGAAAGAGTCGAGGAACTCCGAGGCACTTTGGGGGATCTCGAATCACAGCCGGATTCCGACGCAGTGGTGGAGGCAGTAGCCGGTGCAGCACCTAAGAAGCTCCTGGTTTGTTGGAACTGCCAGTAAAGCGGGCACACTTTCATGGAGTGCGAGGCAGTGCAGCGAAAGTTGTTCTGCTACAAATGCGGGTTGCAGAACACCGTGACACCGAAGTGCCCGAATTGCAGGGCGGGAAACACCGGGAGGAACACGGCTATGACGGGCGAACCGCGTTCCACGAGAGAGTCCGAGAGGAGACCCCGAAATTAAAAGATGAAGCCAAACAAAATACTCAACCAAGCGTGCAGGGACCAGGCAGGCTGTATTTAACACTAAGCGAACGAGTACGCCGATATAAAGAAGCACGCGAACGGATATTCGGGAACAACCGGCTAGCAGGGATGACGCTGGTATCGAGGAGAGTCAAGAAGGCCAGAGACCGTTTCCAGAAAAGGAGGCAGGAGCGAGCGAAAGTTCAGCAGTCGGTAAACTCCGTAGGGAGATATCAAAGCGTAGCCGATCCACGACCTTATGCGGAAATTCAAATCTCTGGGAAGACGGTACGAGGGCTGTTGGACTCCGGTGCATCGGTGAGCCTCTTGGGACGAGGTTGCAGAGAACTTTTAGAAACGCTGGATATCACCTGGAAGCCATATTACGCACAGATTAGAACCGCAAACGGAGCGACACAATCGATCCTGGGCAAAGTCAGCATACCGATGACGTATAGAAATGCCACGGTGATGATAGATTTGTTTTTATGCCCATCGCTGGAACAGGAGTTGTACCTGGGAGTCGACTTTTGGAAAAGTTTCCAGATAGCGCCGGAGGTGTTCGAGCTAGAGTCGATTCAGGAGGAGGTAGTCCCGGAAAAAGAGCAGAAGGAGGAACCGGAGCCGCATAACCTGACGGAAGAGCAAAAGCAAAGGTTGCAGGAAATCCGCGAGACCTTCTTGACGTTCGAAGCGAACGGTCTAGGAAGGACGAGCAAGATGAAGCACGCTATCGACCTGGTGGAAGGAGCCGTACCAGTAAAGGATCGGCATTATCCAGTGTCATCAGCAGTTCAATCCCTGATTTACGAAGAAGTCGATGAGATGCTTCGACTTGGGGTAATAGAGGAAAGCGACAGTGCCTGGAGCAACACGATAACACTGGTAAGGAAACCCGGGAAAAATCGTCTTTGTTTAGATGCCAGGAAGCTCAACAAAGTCACGGTTAAAGATGCCTATCCACAACAGAGCATCGAGGGAATACTTAGCCGTATTAATACGACAAAGTATATATCCAGTGTAGATCTGAAGCATGCTTTCTGGCAAATTGAACTGGAAGAGAAGAGCCGGAGGTATACTGCCTTTACTGTGCCAGGACGCCCCCTCTACCATTTCGTGACGATGCCGTTTGGCTTGACGAATGCGGCGCAACGCCTGTGTCGGCTCATGGACAAGGTGATCCCACAGAGGTTAAGGGAGAAGGTCTTTATGTACCTGGATGACCTGATGGTTGTTTCGCCAACGTTTGAGGAACATTTGGAGACGCTCCGAGAGGTGGCAGATCTTTTGAGAGAAGCTGGCTTGACTATTGGGTTGAAGAAGTCACATTTCTGCTTTAAGGAGCTACGATATCTAGGCTTTCTCATAGGCGGCGGAGTCCTGAAGACAGACCCCAGGAAAGTAGAGGCGATCCAGAACCTAGGGATTCCCAAGAGTACGAGGGAAGTGAGAAGCTTTTTAGGGACGGCAGGTTGGTACCGGAGGTTCATCCGGAACTTCGCGGACCTCGCAGCGCCGCTGACAGACACATTGAAAAAAGGGCAAAAATTCAAGATGACAGCGAAGGCGGAAGAGGCGGTTAAGGCCCTTAAAAGTGCACTCATGACGGCGCCGGTATTGGCTCATCCTAACTTCGCCAAATGATTCTTCGTGCAGTGTGATGCGTCGGATTCCGGAGTTGGAGCAGTATTGTTCCAGGAAGAAGAAGACGGCGGCGAGCGACCGATAGCCTTCATGTCACAGAAGCTCAATCGGTGCCAGCGGAATTACAGCGTCACAGAGAAGGAATGTTTCGCGGCTGTTCTAGCGATAAAACGATTCCGGCCCTATATTGAGCTCATGCCGTTCACCGTGATCACGGCCATGCAAGTCTCAAGTGGCTAATGTCCTTGAAGGATTTGAGTGGAAGGCTGGCCAGATGGTCGCTGAAACTGCAGGCTTATGACTTCTGCATTCAGCATCGGAAGGGGTCGGAAAACGTCGTGGCCGATACCCTGTCAAGAATGGTGGAATCAGTCCAGGAAGTAGAAGACGACTGGATGCTGGGGTTTCAGACCATAGAGTTTGAATCGGACGAGTACCGGGTACTGCGGGAGGCAGTGGAAGCGGAGAAGCGGCCGGACCTCAAAGTGGTGGATGGGTGTGTCTTCAAACGGGTCACAACAAGCAGCAAGCCAGAGCTCGAGGAAAACAGCTGGAAGTTGTGGGTTCCAATGTCATTGAGCCAGACCTTAATCGAGCAAGCACATTCACCACCAACGAAGTCTCACGGAGGAATTGCAAAGACCCTGCATCGTCTACGGCAAAGTTTCCATTGGCCAGGCATGGTGGCTCAGGTCCGAAATTTCATCAGGGACTGTGACGTTTGTAAAGAGACAAAGCCATTGTATGGAGGTCCTAAGCCAGGACTGGGTGGAGAAACGGTCACCTACCGACCATTCCAAAAGTTATATATTGATTTCTTGGGAAAATATCCGCGTTCTAGGAAAGGCCACGCATATATCTTTATCGTGGTCGATCATTTTTCCAAATTCGCATTCCTGAAAGCGATGAAGGAGGCGACGACGGTGGAAGTTTCTGACCAAGGAGATCTTCCATACTTTTGGAGTGCCAGAAACTATCCACTCGGACAACGGGAAACAGTTCGTGGCGAAGCGGTTTCAGGAAATGATCGAGCAGTACCGAATAAGGCATGTCAGGACAGCGGTGTACTCCCCTCAATCTAACGCGGCGGAACGGGTAAATCAATCGGTGCTGAACGCAATCCGAGCCTACTTGGAGGATGACCACAGGGATTGGGACGTATACCTCCCGGAGATAGAGGCGGCATTGAGGAGTTCGGTTCACCAAGCGACAGGTGTGACGCCGTATTTTGCCTTGTTTGGGCAGAACATGTTCTCAAGTGGGGCCGATTACCAGTTGGCACGAAAGCTGCGGGCACTGGAGGACAACGAGCTCGAGGGCTTAGAACCAGGGGACAGGATGGCGTTGCTGAGGGATACCATGAGGCGGAACCTGCATGAGGCGCATGAAACCAGCGCAAAATATTTTGACCGTCGAACACGAGCGGTAACCTTCCATCCCGGACAAGAGGCGTTCCGAAGGAATCATGTGTTAAGCGACTTTGGAAGATGCTTTAATGCGAAGTTCGCTAGAAAATTCGTGAAATGCCGGATTCGGAGGCCCATAGGGAATCACATGTACGAGGTGGAGGACACAAATGGAAAGCTCGCAGGTGTATTTCACGTCAGGGACCTAAAGCAATAGGAAGCGGAGGGCGGATGGGGACAGCGGCCTAAAACTGAAGAAAGAATGGACAACCATCGAGGAGTACCTGAAAGAGATAGGAGGTATAAATCAGAAACTTCAAGACGGATCGCCAGCTCACGCCGATTTATGCAAGGCAGACGCTCATCGTCCTTCTGGATGGACGTCGAGAGGAAAGGATCGAATCCAGAGTCGTCAGTGGGCAGTCTCCCTCGTTGGGCGCTTTGTAGGCATCCAATATGGCCCTGCGTGGACGTCCTTCGGAAATATAGGTCGTTTAGGCCAGTTTTTCACTGCCAATTCAGGTTCTTGTAAACAATCTTTGCTTGTCAGTGTGGTTGTTATGGCCTCTCTAAAAAAATCCGGATAACCAATCGATCTATGCGAACTATCGGATCAGGGATGCCACCCGGTTCCGAAGAGAGGAGCTCCACATCCAAGAGAATAGGTTCTTGACCCGGAATGGTTTGGGAAGCTGGAATACGCGGGTGTAGGAAAAAAGAGAAGGAGAGAGAGATGGATATAAAGGAGGAAACTTAAAGGCGCGGAAAGAGTAACGGCTGGCGAAGCGTTGAGATTAGATCGGGGTTCACATCTTAAAGAAAAAAAAAAAAAAAAGTTTCGCGGGTGACAGTGAAATAAAAAGAAAAAAAAAGGATAACATTTAAATTAGAAGACCAAGGAAGTCAGGAGAAAAAACCCACCCAAAGAGAAGGACCGCGAGGACGGGAAGCCGGATCGAGAAAATCCAAAGGTGAGTGGTCGTAGTCCGGAGGTGAAGCCCTAATCCAATGGCTATCATTTCCAGGCTCGACCAGACCCAGTCCTCGCAGGACGAAGTTGGCCAGGTCAACAAATTGGCCTGGCCCAAGAATTTTCGGGGAATCCTAAATCCAGGTCAAAACGCCGGTAGAGGGCTGTCTGTCCCGCATTGCATGCGTATTGGGAGGCAGCACCTTCGCCATAACCCCAACGGCGACCTTAGTGTTGTTTTTGCTGGCACATTTTTTTTTGGAGCGCCTTTATATCCACTCTGCCACTGAGGAGACAAGACTCCTCCCAGCCTAAAAGTTATATCCACGTCGACCAGGAGGACCGACACGCCTCCCGAGTGGCGACACCGGGAGCCAATAGGCTTCAGCCAAACTTTTTTTTTATTTTATTTCGTTATAATTTTTATTGTTAAGTGTTTATTTAATTTTTTTTTGTATATTTATTTAATTTATTTATTTATTCTATTTTTATTTCATCCTTTTATTTATATATATATATTTTTTATTTATTTATTTATTATCTATTGTACCATTTTCGTAAACATTTATTTATTTGTGCATGTGCGAAATTCACTTATTTCCATATATATTTTTTTTGTTTGGTGTTTAGGCGAATTTTTTTTTGTGGGTAATTTTGTTTATTATTTATTTACATATCTTTTCGTCCCCTCGACCCCCTTGAGAGCTCTTACGGGTAGGTTTTTTTATTTTGAATTAAATAGGAAAACATTTAAATAATTTTATTACAAAAAAAAAAAAAAATCCGCAAAGAATCCGCCAGAAATACCTGTAATGGAAATAAACAAATGTAATAAACATAAGTGAATTGAAATAGACATGGAGTAATATATAATTTTTTTGGGAGAAGGAAGGGAACCGGGGAAATGAGTGGGTGATCGTGTGAGTGTGTGTGCGTTAGGGGCAGCTGCATATATATGATTACTTGCGAGCAGACTGCATGGTAGGGAAGGGATGAGCAGGTGACCTCCAGTCCATCAGGAGGAGAATTCGTGCCTGTTATGTGTGTGCGGAGATTGTAGTGTGAGTGAATTTTGTGGGTTTAAATGTAAACCGCGCGGGTTAAAGTGTTGTGACATCGAATATCGATATTTATTGTTATGTGTGTGGTGGGCAAGGGTTAGGGAGCCCACGGCCCGATGAGAGAGCTAGCCGGAGCCAGCCCGAAAACCACGCAGGTCCTTCGTAGGGACATAAGAAATCTTAAAAATACTAACACATGTGAGGGTAAGGTTTTTAATATTTTTTTTTCGTATATATATATATTTTTTTTTTTTTAAATAAAGGTTTAATATCTTATAAATATTGTGTGAAAGTTTTACATCGATTATAAAATTGACGAAGTTATGGGTAGTTGAACGGAGGTCGTTTGGTGTTCGTTGTATGAGTATCACAAAGTTTAATTCGCTCTCCTGAAAAATACCATTTTGAAAATCGGTGTACACGATATAACTTAAAACCTACTTAACCAATCGGTTTGAAATTTTAAATATAACTTTTTATATTAATTACACAGGCACTCACGTGAAGCTTTTTAAAATTTTTAATTTTAATATATATTTTTTTAACAAATTAACTTCATTTTTTAGTCACAAATCCGGGTGTTGATTTCCAATTTTGATTAAAAATAGGGGAAAAATTAAAAAAATAAAAACGTCATCTGAGTACCTTGGGGCACTTATTTTTTAACGAATGCAATAAATTATTTTGATATCGGATGTTTTTGTGGATAGTTCGGATGTACACCGAAAACAAACTTTTTTTTTTGGGGACTCAAGAGATTCGCTATTAGTCGGAGGCCTGTAAATATTTTTTAATACACAAATTAAAAAAGAATTGTTCAAATGTAGTGTTATTATATGGTATTTAATTCATTAAGCTAAATTTAACATTTTTTTGAAAAGTGGGCAGTTTTGCACCGAATTAACCTTACACCCCTTTAGCTGTGTACTTTTGTTGCTAGACAAATAAAATACACAATATATAAATTTATAATTTTTTTTTTTTAATTCTGGGCACTTATATTTCACCATGAGGCGGAACCTGCATGAGGCGCATGAAACCAGCGCAAAATATTTTGACCGTCGAACACGAGCGGTAACCTTCCATCCCGGACAAGAGGCGTTCCGAAGGAATCATGTGTTAAGCGACTTTGGAAGATGCTTTAATGCGAAGTTCGCTAGAAAATTCGTGAAATGCCGGATTCGGAGGCCCATAGGGAATCACATGTACGAGGTGGAGGACACAAATGGAAAGCTCGCAGGTGTATTTCACGTCAGGGACCTAAAGCAATAGGAAGCGGAGGGCGGATGGGGACAGCGGCCTAAAACTGAAGAAAGAATGGACAACCATCGAGGAGTACCTGAAAGAGATAGGAGGTATAAATCAAAAACTTCAAGACGGATCGCCAGCTCACGCCGATTTATGCAAGGCAGACGCTCATCGTCCTTCTGGATGGACGTCGAGAGGAAAGGATCGAATCCAGAGTCGTCAGTGGGCAGTCTCCCTTGTTGGGCGCTTTGTAGGCATCCAATATGGCCCTGCGTGGACGTCCTTCGGAAATATAGGTCGTTTAGGCCAGTTTTTCACTGCCAATTCAGGTTCTTGTAAACAATCTTTGCTTGTCAGTGTGGTTGTTATGGCCTCTCTAAAAAAATCCGGATAACCAATCGATCTATGCGAACTATCGGATCAGGGATGCCACCCGGTTCCGAAGAGAGGAGCTCCACATCCAAGAGAATAGGTTCTTGACCCGGAATGGTTTGGGAAGCTGGAATACGCGGGTGTAGGAAAAAAGAGAAGGAGAGAGAGATGGATATAAAGGAGGAAACTTAAAGGCGCGGAAAGAGTAACGGCTGGCGAAACGTTGAGATTAGATCGGGGTTCACATCTTAAAGAAAAAAAAAAAAAAAGGTTTCGCGGGTGACAGTGAAATAAAAAGAAAAAAAAAGGATAACATTTAAATTAGAAGACCAAGGAAGTCAGGAGAAAAAACCCACCCAAAGAGAAGGACCGCGAGGACGGGAAGCCGGATCGAGAAAATCCAAAGGTGAGTGGTCGTAGTCCGGAGGTGAAGCCCTAATCCAATGGCTATCATTTCCAGGCTCGACCAGACCCAGTCCTCGCAGGACGAAGTTGGCCAGGTCAACAAATTGGCCTGGCCCAAGAATTTTCGGGGAATCCTAAATCCAGGTCAAAACGCCGGTAGAGGGCTGTCTGTCCCGCATTGCATGCGTATTGGGAGGCAGCACCTTCGCCATAACCCCAACGGCGACCTTAGTGTTGTTTTTGCTGGCACATTTTTTTTTGGAGCGCCTTTATATCCACTCTGCCACTGAGGAGACAAGACTCCTCCCAGCCTAAAAGTTATATCCACGTCGACCAGGAGGACCGACACGCCTCCCGAGTGGCGACACCGGGAGCCAATAGGCTTCAGCCAAACTTTTTTTTTATTTTATTTCGTTACAATTTTTATTGTTAAGTGTTTACTTAATTTTTTTTTGTATATTTATTTAATTTATTTATTTATTCTATTTTTATTTCATCCTTTTATTTATATATATATATTTTTTATTTATTTATTTATTATCTATTGTACCATTTTCGTAAACATTTATTTATTTGTGCATGTGCGAAATTCACTTATTTCCATATATATTTTTTTTTGTTTGGTGTTTAGGCGAATTTTTTTTTTGTGGGTAATTTTGTTTATTATTTATTTACATATCTTTTCGTCCCCTCGACCCCCTTGAGAGCTCTTACGGGTAGGTTTTTTTTATTTGAATTAAATAGGAAAACATTTAAATAATTTTATTACAAAAAAAAAAAAAATCCGCAAAGAATCCGCCAGAAATACCTGTAATGGAAATAAACAAATGTAATAAACATAAGTGAATTGAAATAGACATGGAGTAATATATAATTTTTTTGGGAGAAGGAAGGGAACCGGGGAAATGAGTGGGTGATCGTGTGAGTGTGTGTGCGTTAGGGGCAGCTGCATATATATGATTACTTGCGAGCAGACTGCATGGTAGGGAAGGGATGAGCAGGTGACCTTTTTTTTAATTCTGGGCACTTATATTTCACCAACGTTCTCATTAAGAGATAAAAAAATTAAATTATTGACTTGGAAAAAAAATTGTAATTAAAATTTTGTATGGGAGCTATAAGATATAGATATCCGATATTAACCAAATTTAGTAAGAATGC